GGGAATTGTGGGTTAAAAGTGGAAGGGAGTGTGAAATGCTGGGGATTCATACAGCTTTATCATTCCTACAGTGAGATAATTTACTCCCAGGGTCTTAATCAGCCTATGTGGGTAGTTGGCAGGTGCTGTAGTGTTGTTTGCTCCTTCTTTCCTATCAAACATCTATTGTTCTTATCCCTTTTCCTTTTTCGTGTTTGTTACTCTCTCGTGACGCCTCTTAATCTTCAGCACTTATACGACCTAATTGTGTTTCAAGTGTCATAAAATGCATACTAAAACAAAAACAAAAAATCAATTTATTATGTGTGATGTATATCGTGGTCTGCCCCTTCAGATTAATTTCAGTGTTTATATTTTCTCTCATCTATACATGGAAAAGTGGACCTTGTCGTAGTGACTAGATGTCTATTTGTAAACTTAACTCAAGCCCTGTTGTATTTGGGGGAACAAGCTGGCTCTTTTCTTCTGTTGCTAATCCAAGTCAAACAAAACTGTAACAGGAGCCTGTTATTATTGATTAGATTGACGTGGGCTCAGCTGCTCTGGTGTTATCTCACCCACGGCACGTTGACACGAAAAGGAATGTTGTTTTGTTGTGGATTGTGTTTCCACCACAAACCGTATATGCTTGCAGTGGGTCTCTTGTGGTTTGTATGCTGAGCTGTCAGTGTGAGGATATTGTTTTGGCTAGTTGTTTGTCTTACCTAGTGTCTGGGTATGCTAGTTACTACAGTGTACGGAGTGAAAGAGATCTTCTTGGGATGTATGCCAGGAGGGGAAGGAAAAGAAGTGGAAAGAAGAAGAAGCAGAGAAAAAGGCAGAAGAAGTCCTCTTCCTTCTCTTTTCCCTCCTCTTCTTTTTCAAGCACAGTAACATTTTTTATGATTGTGATGGCCACTCATTGTTGAGGGCAGACTGGCCGTCTTATACAGTATAATTATGATGTTTAAAAAAAACCTAAGGGATAAAGTTGGAAGTGGTTGTTTGTACAGGTGGTTGTCTCATACATGTGGCTGTAGGAGCAGGTTTGACTGTAATATTATAAAAGATTTATGAATGTACGTATTTTGATATTTTATTTTTTTGTCTGACAGATTCCAGTGCACAACAAGTCATTACCACTCCAATCTCAGCCCACCAACCAGCCCACCAGCCCATACAGCCTCAAGAACTGCTGGACTCAATGCCAGATTTTGCAGACAAATACAACATCGAGAGAGAAGCACAGGTAGGTGGAGAGAGAGAGAGAGAGAGA